GGGGGAGAGTAAAGTTCATTTCGACTGAATCACGACATTTAGCTAGAAGATGTAAAGAAGTCAAGTTAAAAATCGATATCAATCGATTTTTCCTCTATAGGAAATTGTAATTAGGTTATATATGATTAATTTCGCTGAGACTATGAGGGTAAATTCGTTCGATTTAACGATGCACACTTTCTGACAATAAACTAATCATTTCCGTTAAATCAATATTTTCAACTCAAGTGCCTTGGTTTCTTGATCTGTCTTAAGATCTTGGCGATCTTTGGCGCTCATTCTAACATTTACTTTTTGATTAGTTCTGCACCATCTTTGCTTTCGAAAAAGAACAGGTTTCAATAATTTATCACTTGATCACTTGCAGTTGAGGATCATCTCTTGGCTTCCCTTTAGATAACTCTAAATGTTAAGAAAATTAGTAAGCTATTTAAATTATAAGAAAATATTTAACTCAATAAGGGCTCCAATCAAGAAGGTAGGTCCTAGAGCGCTATATTTTCCACTTGAGTTGTTCGTTCCCACTATGCCATATTCAAATGAATTGGTACATTCCCCTCCCATAACACGCGCGCTCTATCGGTACATTACCTGAAACTTGTTCATGAGTCTCAATGTCCTAACTGATAATAAGTCGTCTATAATGGAAACAAATTTTAGTATATTTATTTATTCATATCAAGTGGCAAGCTTTATGATATTTTTCATTAGCCCTTTAATTGACTTCGAGCCACACAAAGGGGAGGGAACTCAAAGTGAGAAAAATTCGAGAGGGGTAACAGAAGAGTGATTCTCAGGTTAGAGACAGATACAATAGCAGAGAAAAGGTAAGGTGAGGTGAGTACTGAGACAGTGGTCGAATATGACATACAGTGGGGGTGATGGTAGTTTGAAGTCAGAAGTCAACTGCCGGTTTATTGACTTTTTTGCCTTATGAGTGTACCGTTGCCCACGCACACCCTAATTTTAGGATATAATAACTGAGACGAGGAGAGGAGGAGACGTTTATCCCGTATCCAAGTCGGTGGCTATGATGTGTTCATAAAAAGTGAATAACGTGACCGCAAAATGACATCCTTGTCAGGTAGGCAGGAGGAGATTATGGTTTTAATAAACACTCTGGGAGCGGGTGGTGTGGTTGTGGGGGTGCAAACTTGGAGGGGATATTTATGAACTTTGTGTCTAACCTCATTCAGTGCTTTTATAACCCTTAAAATTTGGGGGCTTTTTGTGTATCCGGGGTGGTGGAAATAAGCTGGATATATGAGTGTGTTATGGCTGGGGTTATTTTGACAGATTAATGGCTTTGCTGCTTTGAGGTAATCACTAGAGGAATTTGGCTGGGAATTTCGAAGTTTTCACGAATTCGGTCCTATCAAATTATTGTGCCCTCTAAGCTCGGAAAAAATGTAATTTAGGGGAGGTGGTGGGAGTTACTGTTAGAAAAACCGTCAAATAGACATCACAATGGCTAGACTATAACGCTGACGATCTTCCATTTAATTGAATGGGAATTGGTGTGATTGACCTCATTACCATCCTTAAGTATGATGCCCTGTTGATTATAGGAATAGATAATCTCCGGCTTTGATTATAATCTAGACCTCCAACTTCTTGATTGTCGCATTTTCGAGTATTTGGATGGGTAGTTGTCTTGATGTTGGTGGGGGGGGGGGAGAGCTAGACTTGGGGAGTTTAATAATGGTCCTCTAATGAGGACAGTAAGGTATCTCCCATGACGTCAATTACTGCAGAGACCACCCTAGCATATTTAATCTAGCTTCAATCAGAAAAATTAATGTAAATGCTGCAAATAGGAAAACGAAATAATCTCACATAGATTCCATGAACGTGAAGAAAGCGTGAAATAACTTCACAGTGATTCAAGACCACGCGAACTTTTACCTTAGCAAAAGTAAACTTCCCTTAATTAAAAAAGGCCCACAGAACTGTTAAAGGAGGAAGAAGGAAGTATCCTGGCATCCCCTTCATGAAAACCTCACATTCTGACGACCCCTGGCCATCGGCATAATGAACTCTGGCCTGCCGTAAGTTCATGTTGATTGTTATACCAGTGGCACTTGATAGATACTCCCCCTCCCCACCCCCTTTTTTAGCAGAAGGAAGTTTTCCGATAAATTCTTCAATTGAAATATTTTTCTCCAAATCCTTGAAGGGATTGGGCCAGATTTAGATTTAATTAATTTAATCCACAATAACGAGGTCCCGTCACTAAAGAATTTGAATGGAGGAAACGGGTGTTTTCAATAACTTTATCTCTTTTAAACGGAGATATTATGGCAAAGGGATTGGCAATGTTTGAGTTCTTTGGCCAATATTTGGACGATCTTTCATCGAAATTTGAAAATGGTTTCAAAACAGGTATGACAAACTTTTGTGCCAAATTTCTGAACTCCGAGCCGGTGTGTGCGTATACAATTGTTTTTTTTAAACTAAACAAATTCATAAAAGCAAAAAAGTATAATTAGTTAATTAACTTGCTTGCACACGAGAGAGAAAGCAGCAGGGTGTGAAACCCGAGAGTTAGTTGACAAGCTTGGGTTGTGTGGAGGGGGGTGTGGTGGGGACTACTTTTCATTTGACAGCTCGACGGCACCGATTCCTGTCCAAAATGGAGCACAAAAAGTGACTTATTCACCTCTCCGTTTCGCCCATTCATGCTACTTCCCCAATGCAGAGAATGAAAGCGAGAAAATGGGGTTTTGGAGATATTTGAGATTATCCTTGAGTGTCACCTTCTGCTTGGCGCCATTTTTGACAGTTTTCATCTTACGTTTTCAGGGTCTTGGCATGCAGCATGGCCTCGGAGGGCCAGGATACGTCAGCTCGGCTCCAGGGGGGTATAGGAGCGAGACGGCATTTCCAGAAGATGATGTCTATCGAAGCCATCATCCCCACCACCCCATGGCAGCTCATTCAAACTCTTCCTCTTCGTCACAATATGTGGATTCTACAAATTTGGCTCTGCCTCAATCAGCGTATTCAGGCTACTCTTCTCATGCACATCATGGAGGTACAACAGACCATCCCTTGCCATCTAGATTCTATCGGGATGCTGACCCGTGGACGACAAGTCAACAGGCACCTTACTTTCCTTGCCCGACGAATCCCTTCGCTTCAGAGATGCCAAGGATTGTTCCGCCCTATGAAACAGGGAACAGTGGAAGTAGTTCTGGTGGTCACTACGGTCACTATGTATCGCATGGAATGGTCAGCCAAGCGTCCAGAAAGACGGACATGAGAGGAAAAAATGGATCGTGGCCCGGAATCGACATGACAGGATCTAGTGGAACCGGTGGAACAAGCAGTGGAAACACTACAGCCTCTGGAAATGTGGATATGCCTCGTAGGTTCAAATGTAATTATTATAGTAGGCCATGGAACACCAAATAACTTGCAATTTTTAATCATAAAAATAGAAAATTGAGTCAAATAAGGTATTTGCCTATTCAAAATCGGGTAATAACAGGGTAATCTTCCATCGATTAGCATGGGATTGCCCTGTTTTTTATCATAATCTCCAATACCAAGATCACCAGGGCAGTAAATCCTACAGACCTCGTAGATCTTTGCTATTTATGATTTTATAATCCATTTTGATCTGGGTTTCTGCCATATGCTGTTTGAGCACAGGCTGATGGGGTGTATTGTTCGGATTTAATTTCGTCTGTAGCCCTGCATCGCAATTACTATTGATAATTGGTTCTTGCTTTTAAGATTTCAACTATTTCTTTGCTTTCTGGAAGCATCATTTTTTTATTGATAATAAAACTCTTTTTCCTTGGGTAAAATCCATGTTAGAGTCGCCCAATTAAGCTTAAGAAAATTGGCCCCTTCCCCTACCGATTTTCAATAACAGTGATAGAGGTTGAAGACTAAGGGAAATCGTTTCCAAAGACTGCTCTATTTTATAAATAGAAGAAAGAAAAAGGGGGTATAGAAACTTGGCCTTTTGTAATCTTCGCGCTAGGGCGAGAAAACGCACGTGCATTGGCAGCTCAAGAGAATTTTCGATATTCGATGTTTTACCTCATTGCACCTGCGTTACGTTTAATCAAATTCGCCACGCTTTATAAGGAGATTAATACGAGGGCATTTTGACGTCAAATCTCAACGACCTTTTGACAGACTGATTTTTGACCTTGAAGGTCGTCTAGGCGGGGTCTGGCGAAAAACGGCCTCGAGAAAAAGGGAGGTGTGAGAGAGGGAGGTGGGGGTAAAGAGATGCTTGTGCAACTATTTTCCCACAGCTTCCTGCTACCTGACCGACAGGTTTGATCGCTAAATTTACATGCCTGCACCAAGAAATGCCACCAGCTAGTAGATTTGCGCGTGTAAAAGAAAGAGGGGGGGGGGAGGGTAGGATCTAACTAAGAGCTGAATTAACTGATGGCCAGCTGTGGTGGAGAGAAATAAATGTCAGATTTGGCGTGATTCAATTTACCCCCAACCTAGTTGGGGGTATTTAGTTAGGGGCTGGGTTGGCATATGCACGCTTGCGTGTTAAGTTTCGAATGTCAGTGGAAGTTTAAGGGGTGAAAAGTTAAATTGACCTTTCCACTTATGATTTCAATCTTGAATTTTTTGTTCTATCAATGTGTGGCCATCTGTGGCGCAAACTTTGATTTGAATGCCCACATTGTATTTCTCACGCTCCTAGAAAATTTAGCTAATTAGAACAACTTGATTAGATCCGGGACTGACCTTATCAAACTTCTAGTTGGGTTTCTTCAATAATTCTGGTAGGGAGAATGATATTTCAGGTTGTTACGGGTTCAGAGAATAAGCTTCATGACACGCTGGTTTATCCCTACGCAAATTCTTACCCGCCTTCCGCTTGTACCGGAAAGTATTTTATTTACGATAGAATCACTTATTTTAAGTGTTTATAGTTATTGCTATACTGCCTTTGTTGTATAACGGTATTATTTCTAGCACTGTCTAGTTTATTTGTCTTTATTAATAGTAAAGAAATTTGTCCAAATGCACAAAATGTAATGGTTGTAGAATCAGTTGTTTTAGACTGTTGTGTGCTTTAAGGCTACGCTAAATCAATCATATATTGTTGAATTAAGGTAGATGACTAATGTGCCTATAATTTTATCGCATCGAATTTATTCCCATGAAAATAACTCGTCAATATGTTTATTTTTGGTCAGAGATTACAAACAGTGAAAGTAAAAACAGCCTTTTCTTTAATTCCTTGTGTTGATAGTCGCCTCTAGAAGTTCAGGTATCTACGAGCTCCGAACTTGGATCCTTCTTTATTATCTAGGAGCATAGCCAGTTGGAAAATGTATTGGGGGGGGGGGGGTAATTTTGATACTAAAGGCCAGTACACTAGGAGAGGAAAATAAGGTATCTCGACGATAGTATAAATGAAGAGTTGTGGTTAACTAGCAAGCCAATTACTAGACACCATTGAGACCCGTGTTCTACTATTAACCCTGGAGACAAGGAGGGAAGTTTTGTCCCTTAAACGACGCAGCTACAGTGAGTTGTCCTAGACAGAGATAACAGGTGTCCATCAAATTGAACTCGAAATGTATTTACCACAGCAACACAATTATTTGGGACTATCTCCTAAGTCTACAAATGCGTTCAATAAGCTAGTTCAAAGGCAACAATTAGTCCTACTCTATTTGGCACACAAAGGCTAGTCTTGTTCGCAAACAATTACAAAATATTTAATCCCATGCAGAGTGGTTAATTTAGTCCTCATGCATACGTGTATTTTTGTCTCCACACTCTCCCCCAACCCACCCCTCCCCCTCCCCCACCCATACCTATCTGCGATTAGATAGAGAAACCAGTTGGTTGTAGATTGGGTAGGATAGAGAGGGGAGGAAATGGAATGGCACCCCTTCTCTCCCAGCCTTACAACATCTCCTCTCAAACGACCTGTCGATTCTGACATTTCTGTGCATATGTCCCTTGGATTTCGTTGGCATATATATTCCCCTGATTCATCAATCAACCTCTGCCCCTACTTGTTTCCTTTCCACTGTGCAAATACAAACACCCCACTGCCCACCAATGCCCCTGCTGGAATATAGAAGCATTATAATGCTAGTAATAATGGAAAGAGAGAGAGAGAAAGAGAGAAGAGGAAGAAAGCCAAGAGAAAAAAGTCAGTAATCCACACACACGCTCAACAGTTGTTAAAGCAATGATGTGAAAAAATGGATTTGTGCAAAAACTGTTTAAAGTACGAAGACTGCCCTCTAACTAGTATTTATATATCCATATGAAATTTCAATATCTTATTGGTCGCATCCTACCTGAGAACGTAAGGTATGGCTAAGCAGATGGCAGCAATTCTATCGTGAGTACTGGTAGAAGAGCAAAAGGGGGTGGGAGTGAGAAGGGGGGGGGGGGGGGGNNGGGTGGAGAGATAAGAGTCTCGCGATATTAGGTCACATTGTCGGTAGAATGACAGGTGGTCAGCCTGCCAGATGGTAGGGAGAATTGACTGTTTAGAGCAGTTTAAGCAACCCCTCTCCCTCATTTTCAACCCTTTTTATTAGAAAATTTGTCCAATACTTTTTGTCAGTATGCTGTTTTTATTCAAGGAATGCGCGGTATCTCATTCCTGCCATGAATTTTTGGTCGGTACTTATTTGTACTTATGTTGTGGTTATTTTTTTACTTGAAGTCATTTTCAATTAGTGTTAAATAATCCAAGTAGGAATTCCTATTATTTATTTATTTTTTCTTTTCTAAAGATGAGTGCAAATTGTTATTAAATTTAATAATAATGTTTTTTTTGTCATTTGTTTTAGATGATGGAGTGGCCAATTCGATCGAATCGCAGGAGGAGAATAACGAGGAGGCCGACTGCGATAATGACAATCGGGCATCCACCAAAAGGCAGAAGAAACGCGGTATTTTCCCCAAAGTTGCAACCAACATTATGCGCGCTTGGCTTTTCCAACATCTCTCGGTAAGTTTATTTCCTTCCAAAAGTTATGTTTATGAAATACAAATGTGTAGATTTGTGTGTGTGTGTGTGTGCATATGGTGGTAGACAATGGAAAATTGTTGGTAGTGGGAATTTTTTGTGTAGTGTCTAGGGGTCAATTGTTTAGAGGAAATTAATTGAAGAAGTACATGGGAGATTTAGGAGTCTGCAGTTAGATGTTTAACTGTAATATATGTTACTAATTTTATTTCAGCATCCCTATCCATCAGAGGAGCAAAAGAAGCAACTAGCCCAAGATACCGGACTAACGATTCTACAAGTGAATAACTGGTGAGATAACGATCTATTCGATGATTTTTTTATTGTTTACATATTAACTCGTTATATTTCCCTACCGTGATCTTAAAGCTGATTTTGGTTATGTGTTCTAATAAAAGGGTTAATTAATTGGTCTAAATCGGCTAAATGTTCTCCGCAAAAACTTCATAGGTGTCTAAGTTATGGAGTAGTCTGATAGGATTTTTGTCTGTTCTAGGTTCATCAACGCCCGAAGACGTATAGTTCAGCCGATGATTGATCAGTCTAATAGAGCAGCACCCCATATGTACCCAACGGATTCAACGAACTCCTGTTTGAGTTACATGGAGGGCTCTCAATATGCTGCCTACAGTCGGGCCGCCGCGGCCGCTGCTGCTGGTATGTCACATTGATAAGCCGGTTGAAAGGTATTGGCATTTTGAATGACTAACCACGCTTTAATTCTTCTTCGTTTCTTTGTTGTATTTTAAGGATTGGCATCGCACTCAAGTCCAAGCGAAATGTACATAGCAGCAGCCGCTGCAGCAGCGGCTGCAGTTGGAGGGAATTCAGGAGCAGGTCAGCGAGGACGTAGGGGAGGAGGGAGCGGTGATATCGGTGTCAGCGGTGGCTCCAGTGGTGGATTTATTGATCCCTCCTCCATTGGCCCGGGAGATTTCTTCAATCCTAGCTATTACCCAACTCAAAATCCCTATGGCCCTTCATCTTACGCCTCTGCTGCAGCAGCCAGTTCAAACGCGTATCGTCCACAATATCATGGTGTTGGTGGCAATTTGGCAGCCTCGTATTATCCCGGAATGTATAATCAACTTGAGGATGCTCTTCCGTATGCTCATTCAATTGGTTTCAGCTCTACTGATGATGTCAAGAAAATCAATACTTGCTCATCAGCTAATACGTCTACCAACACATCAACTGAATAGGCCTATCGCAGTTAAACCAAACTAGCTCGGTATAAATTGCAGGGTAAAGTTGGCGTTCATTGCTGTTAAATCAATGCGCCTTTCTTATGCAGACAGGGTACTCTTGGATATATAACAATATACATATGTTCTCATAAAATCTACTTAACTAACAGATCACTTGGTTTTTCATTATTCTTCCCCCACCCCACCCCCTTTCTTCATCATTCTACTATTCGATTCCCATCTAACGTTGTCCTCCTAAACTCCTTTCTTACCCCCCACCCCCCACCTCTCCCCCACTCTCCTTCTCATTCATTATCCGTCCTTTCGGCTCCTACATTTAAATCTTCTTATCATTGGTTCTCGAGATGCGTTGAAGAGAAGGCATAAAATATTCCTGATACGCGACTGGTCTTGTTTCTATCTTTTCTGTTGATTAAAAATCGATCGACAAAATAACAATAGAATTCATTGCTAACCCCCGGCCACCTAAACGCGAAAATAATGGGATGGGGGTGGGGGGTGGGGAGAGGTTATCAAAATAACAAAAGTTGGATTTATCAAATCAACACGTGAACCTGCATACGGAAACGTCAATCATTTGTCACATTCCCTGTCCCAAACATGACATATCACAGTTAGTCCGCATATCTTCCGGTTAGATTTATCAGCCTAAATTCATCTCTGTATTTATGTGTATTGACGACCTGATTTGCCATCTCTGGTTTGAGGGGGTCTAATTATCTTAATGGGATTAGCTTATTTGTTCAGACTCACCTCCAACCCCTCCCCCCTCCCCCCCCCCGACCATTATGGGATTGGTTTTCATTTATTCTCTCAAACCTTCTCAATCTATGCCTCTCGCAGAATAACAATTAGATAGTTTTTTGTGTATTTAGTTACGAGCTCAAATCACAGCTATTATCGATTATACTGTTTCGATTGGTTGGTGGGCACCATATTTGATTGGATTTGTTAGTCTTCACAACGGAGGTGGGGAATCCTAAAATAGCCTATCTAATATGAATACAGACCGGAAGTTTTCAACCGATCCCATCCTGGAGAATAGTGAAAAAATACAAATAAATTTTCCCAGGTTGAATCAAAATGGGCATGGTTAAAAAGCAATACTTGATATATGATAGGGAAAGAAATTTGGGTATTTATTTAAAAAAAACAGAATCGATGAAAAAGATTATGGGTCTTGTGGGAAAATCAAAAAATGTTTTGTTTGCAAAAACAATACTGACATTTCTGTGGGTATAATAACTTTAACGAGCGTTGAAGGCCTTGCGTACTATTAAATAATAACGTACAAATATGCTATCATAGCATGAATCGCAATACCAGAGTAAATTTCTGTTATTCTGTAAAGTGTGTGGATTGATTTTCAGTTTTAAACTTATTAAATTTGCATTCGTCAAAAATGTGACAGCTTCGTCAATAGAATTTTTGATGTTCTCTTTTATTATTCCTCTCGAAAAGAGAAATATGTTTTGCCGTATTCAAATATTTATACGCGTCATTAAGCAGGAATTAGCATTCCTAGTTGGGCAATCTCTCAAAAATGTATTATTTTCGATATTTATACCAAGATGAAAAATAAATTCTGATTGAGGAAACGTTCAAAATGCTATGAATTTGTTGCAGTCACTAAAAAACCCTTGGCACTATTGGAGAAAAACGAAAATTGAGAATTCACTCAAAGAAGATATCAACTAACAATTTAGACCTTTTATTTATATTAAACCAAACAAGAACGTATATTATCTACAGAGGAATTAAATTTAAAACATAATACTTTAAGCGTAATGTGGACAGTCATTAAATTGCTGCAGAGATTAATCGAATTTATCCCTCACGTCAAATTACTAAAGGTCATTTTTATTTGGCATTATGAAGTTTAGGAAAAAAACTGAAGGAATTTAATTTAACAGAAGTTCAGTAGATTGACCAGGTTGTATATATTGTCGTCGGGGTGTGTGATAGACTTACCTCCACGTGGTGAAGCCTGGGCAACGTATACTCATACGGCAAAAA